TGATTTGCTTTAATTGAAAAGGAGCTATTTGGTTCTTAACGAAGAAAAAAACAAGGAGACAAGAAAGAAAAGCTAACAGAATCATTACACTTGACGGTGAAAATAGCAAGATATGATTATAACTGTTATAACATTGATTTCAGAAAACTTCGCGTAAACAAAATCACCGGCTGCCGAAACCACAAAGCGGCTCTAAATGAAAAACCTACCAACTCTCCGCAATGATTCTTCATTCGCAGTTCAATTTAGCATTTCAGTTTCGAAGACAAGGGCAATTTTGCTTTTTAAGAGAAAGATTAAGCGTATCAAAATGTTTGAACTAAACGAAAGAATGCTAGGGATGCGATCCGCTGAATATCAAGTGACAATTCCGCTAAAATTTTTCATAATTATACATAATTATGTGAATGTTTAGACAATCAAGCAATCAAAATCACTACCCGGTTTTCGGGTAGTGAGTGACGTCACTGGACGGCATTAATGGCCAGTCGATTCAGACGTTGTTGAGAGGAGAAAACGACTCGAAGCAATCGGATGAATTTCAGGCTAATCCAACCCCTAAATGTTTTTAAAAACAAATTAAAACATTTGCTTTTGAAGAAGCTTTTTATCAGTTATATTTTATAAATTTTTTTATCAATCGTTAAAGAATTTTATTTGTTTATTTAATTTTTTAATTGTTATATTGTAAAGAAACATTTTAATCGTTAGAGAAATTGTGATAATAATATAATTTTTTTTAAAAATTTTGATCTTGGTATTTTTTACTGTTGTAAAGCGCCATGAGCTTGTAGAACTGTTCCACTACATAAATATTCTATTATTATTATTTATGTTATTAATATTTATTGTGATTGTATTAAAAGGGTCAGTTTTTGATAGTACCACAGATCTAAATCGTACAAGCTTTTAAAATAATGACCTGATAGAGTCTGATACAACTGTATTAATCATCTTCCCAGAAACATAATATAGCAATCCTCATATGCTGTCGACTAAAATGTTTTGACTCATTTCTGTTGTATCAGATATCTAGCAAGAAGTACCCTAAATTAAAGGAAGTTGATGATGTATTGGGTGGGAAAGAAGCTTGGGAGAATGTGGACTCTACAGAGGGTAAGTAATAAAAATCTCCCCTTTGAATTCAGAGGTATAAGGTTAGAGAGGATGGGGCCAATCGCTTCTGTAGCCTTCCAGTGATACCACCTTCTGAACTAATGTGGGGTCTTTTAAAAATCTCAGTCAGCTTCTGACATGGGTTTAAACCTGCAACCCCCATTTAGAAGTCAGGCACTCTTCCAACTGAGCTAAGCAGGTGGTTTTTAATGTATACTTTCGGTTGTAAGGCACATTCAGTTGTACAGGTTGTCCCAAAAGTTCGTTCCTCTACTTTATAAGTCTGTAACGCAGCATGATTGGACTTGATCAGCACATAATTTAAACCAACGTTGTGACTTTTAATCTAATTTAATATTTCATACTTCTTGTCCCATCTTTTGACTTGAAATTCGATTTGTGTAATTTCGCGCCAAAGGTGCGCTGCCCTATAAAATTTTCGCACCATATATTTTTTGCATTTTGTAGCCCGAAATGCTCAAACTCCTGACTTGTTTTGTGTGAATGTCCTGAAAGATTAAACCCTCTAAACGAAAAAACACTCAGCTACGTGCAAGCAGAAGCATGTATCTCTATCTACTGGCTTATCAGTTAAATAAATTCCTAAGAAAATGGAAAAATCCGAATGTTGGGTGGTAAGATGGTCATACAGAAGTGAAGGTTTCACAGACAAGAAACGAGAGGTAAGACCAAAAGTCCTGAATAAAACTGCTAAAATAGTTTTAAAGAAGGCCATGTACAAAACAGGAAACCCAACGAGGTAGCTCTTACCACAGTTGGCAAGTTAAGGATGGAGCAGGTTCATGAAAAGCAAAGTTTGGAGACTCCTGAGATGGCCAAAAAAAACTTTACTCCCAGCCAGGGCGGTCCACCAAGCAACGCTCAGCTCGTCTCAAATTTGTAAAGAAGAACAAAAGCCTTACTTTGGAAAGGGGACGGAATGATCATCTTTTCTTGGATCAATGCCCAAAATATATTGTTTCAGCTGCCTAATCTAAAAATTTATATTGTTTGGGGGTCAAAGTGACTCCTGCATACTAGGTGATAAAAAAGCTCAAAATGAATCATCTAGGGCTCTACATGCTACATGGCTTATCTCACTTAATGCCGCAACGGCTACAGAGTGTGATAAAAAAACAAAGGGGGGATGCCGGTAACTGAACTTCTGAACACAAGTACTCGATAGAGTAAGAAACATATTTTAGAAATTTCATGTAATATATCAAACATGAGACGCAGTATTTCATCACCAGAGGAAACACCGAGAAGAGAGTTGAAAATACGACGCGCAGCGGAGTATTTTTGACGAACTTCGAGGTGTTTCATCTGGTGATGAAACACTGTGTCGAATGTTTGATATTTCTTCTCAAACAAAATCATTTTTGAAGGAGAAATTAAGGATGCAGAAATGAGCAGTTTTTCATCTGATATCCAAACACTCATTAAACATTAATTTCCTTTGAATTTTCTTTATGAATTATTAATGAGTTTGAGAAGTAAAAATGAAGTTTTGATCAAAAGTTTTATCGCATGAAATCAGAGGAACGAACTTTTGGGACACCCTGTAAGATGCACCCCAAACGTTTCAATGTAATTTCACAAGTTAATAAACTGAAAATTAAGGAAACATACATGGGTATAAGCTGCAACTATGGTTTTTGGTGATGTTCACTTTAATTACAACAGTATGGTTTCCAAGGTTGCCAATTATCGCCATTCACCTATGTGAGCAAAAGTGGAAAAGTAACAAGAAAGCTAAAAAATCACAGGTATTAGAAAGCAAAAAAATGTTTTCTAAAGCTGTGAATACTTAGTGATCCATTTTTAGATTTATAACTGAAAAAAAAATATAGACTTCTGTTTCACCCACTGAAGCAAACTTACTGTTCATACCTTTTCAAATTAAACTTACCCTTATAATATTGACACCCAAAGGCCCCCTGTTGGGTTGTTTTGAATAAAGTATGTATTGTGCTTGTGTGTTTGTAAAGTTGGTAGCCACAATCAAAAAAGAGAATGAGAACTCTTTTACCCCAGGGGTGTACTGCCATACATGGGCTATATAGGTATGTGCTGCTGTGAAGGGTATGGTTTTCAAGCAGTTTACTCTAGGATAGGGTATATAAATCAGAACATTTGGGTCTAGAATAGGGTATCATTTTTCAAGAAACTGATCAGTTGGTTGAAGATTTTATCTAGACTAGGGAAGCAGCTACTCTAGGATAGGGGGGATTTGGGGAGTTTACTCTAGTATAGGGTAGCGAAATTTAGCTTATCAAGCTCTGGTATGGGTTATGGTTCCAGGGTCCCAGTGGCACTTCCCCACCCATAAATTCCTAAAGTACCCCCCGGTCTTCTACTTACCTAACACTAATTGTTGTGTATTTTATAATTAACAGAGCGCTGTCCTAAGTGTGAACACAACAGAGCATACTTTATGCAGATTCAAACACGATCGGCAGATGAGCCCATGACAACTTTCTACAAGTGCTGCGGGTGTGGCCATCGTTGGAGAGAATGAGATTTCAAGTATTCATTTTGATGGTAACAGTCATTTTATCATGAATTAATGTCCTGTCGGCAAAGATGTAGCCTATTACCAGCTCCTTTTTGGGAAATAAATGTCAGCGTTGACAAAATTGGAACAAGTAAGTGATTAAAATTGAGCCCGCAAAGATGGACGGAAGGTACAGATGGTGGGAGATGGAAGGAGGTACAGCTCTGCCCATTGGGCAAGTACATGTACATGTAAGCTTTAAGAGATTACTTGCCTGGAAGAGAAACTACTCGTCCCAAACTACCAGATGGGATTTTTTCGAGCCCTGCATTAGAACAAACCAGATAAATGACAGCAAAGAACTTGAAAAGTCATTGTCCTTTTTGCACGATATATTTCTAAGTTATTTATTTTTACACCGCTTTAAAATGAGCTGCTGTAGCAGTGCTGATCAAAATATTTTTATTTACAAGCTGGAAGTCCTTTAAAACCTTTTAACCTCTATGAGGTAGAGTGTCCAGCATTTAATTTCTCCCCCAAAAAAGGGAAAAGGGGTAATGATCAACTGGTGAAAAAGGTTGATTGACTGTTGATTGTTAAACAAATTCTCCTTACAAATACAGTAGGAAATGTTGGATAACAGTATCGAGAATACACAAACTAAAATCTTGCTTTTAATCTTTAACACCCTAGAGTGGCCAAAATGAATTTTTTCTTAACAATTCCAATGAACAATCTAGAGAAAAAGTTATAAGCATTAAAAAAATGACCATCAAAGAAATAATGCTTTGGTCTTATATCGAATTCTCTCAACTCATTCCTTAAAAAAATGTGTGGGATCAGTGTGGAGAATTGGTATGTGGATATTGGGGCTCAAACGGATACAGAGTGTTTGAATAAAGGAACGATGTTTGAGCCGTATTGGTTTTACTTGTAAATCATTGTTCAAGTCGAGTGGATAATACCGCCACAATGTTCGTGAAGAGTGACCAATCGGGCTAGCGTTTTTTAACGCAAGTTGCCAAACTCTGAAGAGATGACTACATTTATCACTAATGTACATCATGTACAATGTAGCTCCTAAGAGATCCAGGTTGGTAACTTCGGGCAAGCTGAATAGTCTGAGTATTTAATTTGCTCGCACCTTGGAGATATAGCGTTTGTTGTACGCACACTGTCATTGCTAGCAGTACAAGAAACAAGAAAGCTTTCCCATATTCTTGACTTCGGACGTTATTTCTTAGGCCGTGTAATGTACTAATATATTTAACCTCTGCGAACCGTTAGATACTTTTTAAGACTCCTAAACGCCTTCCACGATACCCTTAACATATTAATTCCTTTTTAACTTGTTAATTCTTTTTTCCTTCGATGTCTTGACACGCTATTACTTGTTAGACTTATTTATCCACTCCTTAATTTCCTTTTCTTTGTCCTGCGATAAAAATCCTTTATGGTTTGCAGGAAAGCGCTGAATACCGTTTTGAATAAACAGACAATCGTCCAGGTTTTTCTGCGGGCCAATGCAGGGAAGTCCCTTGGTATTTTTGCGCACGGCACGCTTTGTTCGCACCTTATGAACTGGATTTCGTTTTGTTCCCGAATTGTGTGAACTAACTGCCCGCGGAAAACCATCGTGTTCCGTTTGTCCCTTCTCAGACCCTAGTAATAATGTGGGTGTTGGTACGTACAAGGAACAGCCTAACGCGTCCGTGTGAACTTGTTCCGTGTTTTGCTCACCTATATCAACAGTGCTGTGCGCTTTGAGGGTCGGCGACGCGTTAGAAGCGTTCGAGATGGATGCTGCGAGAATAATCGGTAAATGAAGCGAGGCGTTGTCGTTTGATTTGCTGAGGAGTCCAGTATCCGTATGAACATGCCCTCTTTCGTTGTTAGCCACATGCTCGGCGTGGGACATCCACAGTAGAGGGCTAACTTCTCGCATTGAGCGATAACTGCTTAATGGCGGCAGAGAACTATCGATAGACGAATCCTTTTGAAAGCGAAACCATCGGTAACCCTTATTGTAGTCGTAATTGGACATAACCTCTTCCAACCTTCACAAATTTCCCTCAAATTTCTAGCTTGCTGAGGCTTGTTTTTCTTGGCGAGAATGAGCAAAATCAATTACATTTCCTGTCTCTATTACAAAAATATCGAGGACGTATACAGCTTGTCATAGAAATACGATTGTTCATTCGCGGCAAATATAAAATCAATTAGCGTTTTATAGACAAACAGGTTTTGTTCATTCTTATTGTAATGACAAAAGAGGTATTAAGAGGCTTAAGTTGTCTGCTCTTTTCTTTACTATTCTGATTCGTGNTGTCCCGTTTGCCCATTCTCGGATCCTAGTAATAACGTAGGTGTTGGTACGTACAAGGAACAGCCTAAGGCGTCCGGGTGAACTTGTTCCGTGTTTTGCTCACCTATATCAACTGTGCTGTGCGCTTTGAGGGTCGGCGAAGCGTTAGAAGCGTTCGAGATGGATGCTGCGAGAATAATCGGTAAATGAAGCGAGGCGTTGTCGTTTGATTTGCTGAGGAGTCCAGTATCCGTGTGAACATGCCCTCTTTCGTTGTTAGCCACATGCTCGGCGTGGGACATCCACAGTAGAGGGCTAACTTCTCGCATTGAGCGATAACTGCTTAATGGCGGCAGAGAACTATCGATAGACGAATCCTTTTGAAAGCGAAACCATCGGTAACCCTTATTGTAGTCGTAATTGGACATAACCTCTTCCAACCTTCACAAATTTCCCTCAAATTTCTAGCTTGCTGAGGCTTGTTTTTCTTTGCCTAGAATGAGCAAAATCAATCACATTTCCTGTCTCTGTTACAAAAATATCGAGGACGTATACAGCTTGTCATAGAAATACGATTGTTCATTCGCGGCAAATATAAAATCAATTAGCGTTTTATAGACAAACAGGTTTTGTTCATTCTTATTGTAATGACAAAAGAGGTATTAAGAGGCTTAAGTTGTCTGCTCTTTTCTTTACTATTCTGATTCGTGACTGATTGTTGGAGGTGTTTTGGCTGTGTGTTTATTATGTGAGTGACGTCATAGACGGGGCTCCATGGTCTGTTTCACTTCCAGAGACAATTGTGGAAACCTTCATGTACAGTGGTTTTATCAGGGACCTTAAGCAACGACGACGACAACGAACAGCAAAAACGTCACTAACAATTGGTTTTATGAGCAAAACAACTGCTCTGCACGTGCATTACGCTTTTAAGTACATTTCTTTGACGTCCACTGCACGACTACGACGTGAAACCTCCCAATGCGACGTTTTATGGAGGACGAGGACATACTACGACAAATTTTCTCTTCTCTATTTGAACATGGATAAAGCCCTTAAGAATTTAACTCAAGTCGCCTAAATTTGACGAATTGAGCGGTTCCAAATAGACGCGATAAAGTTTGAAAGGACGCAAATTCAATTTTTCGTCAGTGATGTTTTCACTGCCGTTTTCGTCGTCGTTGCTTAAGGTCCCTGGTATTGTTTTAGCGTGAACCATTCAAACCATGGTGTGAACACTCAAATGTACTACCGTAAATTCTCTATTAAGCCTTCCATCTCAAATAAGCCCCCCCTTTTCAGGGTAAGAAAGTTAATACCCCCCTCTATTAAGCTCCCCTTCCCCTCCCCTAAATATTCTTCACTAACAAATGGCAGGCTGTATTAATCAATCACGACTGTCAAACTTCGTGTGGACTGATCCAGGATGGTTTATTTACCAACTAGAAGTTTTGATCCTTGGCTGCATGACCTGCAACTTCTTGTACTTGAGCTTTTCCACTTTGTATTCTAGGTCTTTATGGAGAACTGATAGTTTCCAGGGGCACCCAACGAGAATATAGTTCAAAACTACTTAAACATAGCATTGTTAAACGTATTTTAGTATTTAAACGGTAGATAAAGGCATTTTTTTTATCCCTTAAAAATTTTTCATCTGTTCGGATTTCCTAGCTGAAAGTCTAGTGATCCGAAAATTATAGGGATCAAAACTTACCTTTTCGAAAATTTCAGCCAGAAAAAAGCCTAAAAATCTGCTAAAAATGGGCAATGATACCCTTTTTAGATGTTCGAAAATCCTAGGAGAGGAAGGCAAGCAAGAAATTTTGCAACAAATGTTCCGAAAATTCTAGTTCTCAAATCGTCTTCCGAACAGATATTTTCCTAAAATTGACGTTGGGTGCCCCTGAGTATCGTCTTTTCTAGATTAAATAAGCGCCCCGTCTCTATTAAACCCCCCTTTGAAATGGGTTTGAAATAAATAAGCCCCTGGGGGGCATAATAGAGGATTGACGGTATTTATTCAGTCTGTACTTTTGGACGAAATATGAATGAATCGCAAAACCTAGCCTGCAGGGCAAACGTATTTCTGGGCGGGCAAAAGCTACTTGTTTATGTTATATCTGTAGCCGCCATCTCTTCTCTCTTTTGGAGTTTCAACGTGGCGCTTACACGATCGAAAACATTTGCGCACCCAAAGAAAACGCCTGCACTGCAGGCTACGCAAAACCCGTACGTTTTCTGCACTTTTTCATCTGCCATAAATTGCATCTGTAGACCTTTTTACAGACCGAAATGACAGCCTTTCCCTACCCTTTCATATACTTGAAGCTTGAAAAAGGTAACACTTTCAGTCGGAGCCTCTCCCGGCCTATAGGCCCTTGTGGGGAGTATCCCCTCAATGTAGTCGTGGTCTGTCGAAAGATTTAGTTACGGGAACTCAACTAAATGAAATCGTGTTAAATCGTGCCGGATTCTCAGGAACAGCTGTTTCAGCTCTTTAGGCTTCTCTGACTGACCGATCTTCCGCGATAGTCGGCCAAGATCTATAGACATATAGATATTAAGTTTTAGATTGAACTCTGACCTTATTAAAACAGAAACTAATTGAATGAAATCAAACGAGTCTGGAAGAAATTAAACTGGAAAGTCTGTTGCATCATTTCAAAGATAGGAAAGAAATAGTATTGATGCTTTTGTTGACTGCGATTAATTTTGCCTTCGCAAAGAACTTGATGGTAATACAGGTTAACAGATAGTTTCGAAGTCGCGCTGCCGTCAGCGTTTAGCCAGAAGATGTCGGTGTTCAGTTATGTGATATCGATTCGAAGGCTCCTTATTTATAGGTCCTCACACACTGCATATGGGCGCCATACGTCGAAAATGACAAAACGCGCTCGTGCGCTTCTGCACATTCCGCTCATCCTGTTTCCTCGAAAGTCAACCGAAAAAAAGCGCTTCATTTGAGTGTCAATGTATTTAATAATATCAATTTATATAGCGCTATTCAGCTAATTTTCTATGGCGTTTTACAATCATTATGCCCACAAGGTAAAAACTAAACGCTAATAATACCGAGATAAATTTACAGCTCTTAAAAATATAGGTAAATGTACAAGAAATTATAAAAGTTCAAAGTCTTAAGTTCAAAAATATTAAGATAAATTTACAGAGAATGAAAATGTAAATACGTGTACTATAAATAAAAGTTAAAAATCATAGGTTTCTTTAAAACAAGATAAGTTTTCAATTCTCCTTTTTTTTTAAGAGCTATTGATGGAGATTTGCGATTGCTGAGATATTCCATAGCCTTGGCGGAGCAGTGCTGCTGAGCACCCAGTCTCGAGTTCTTAGCCAATGGAACGTACCATACGTGACTCAGAAATCACTATTGTATTTAAACACTAAACGTATGAAAGCTTTTAAAAAGCTATAGTGGCTTTTGTTACTTTGATATTGATTCTTTTTTAAGTAAGGTAACTGTTGGAGGTAAATAGCGGAAATTCTAACCTAAGCCAGTAACCTTATGCTAACTGCTGGCAGTGGATATTGCTTGCTGTAAAATTTGCAATAATTAATAAACAGTTGAAACAGTTATGTAACTTCAAGTTGTTTTGATGTTAACGTAACTCGATTCCGCCTTTGCGTGGATAGATTCACTTGCCCTCAAGGGGGGTCTGGAAGGGAAGGGTGTATTCTCGGAATCCGGCGGTACGCGGTATAACCGAAATACAGTGCGGCGATGATTCGGGAAAACACAAAATTTGTTGACGGGATACGGGATTTGATCGCTGTTCGGGAAGCGGGACTTGGCAAGGGTTGCAGTATTGGGAAAGAAAACGTTACTCGAGATAGAGATAACAGAAGTACGGGATATGCAGAATTGTCGTGGAAATGGCGCGGGAATACGGGATCAAAACCCTCTTTCGAGACTCTGCTCAAGGCCAGGGGGCTTTCGTTGTTTTTTTCTTTCCGGCAAAAAATTTAAGTGAAATTAAACTGAGTAAGAAATTCCTTGCACGCCTGTAACTTTGAAAAACAACTCCAATGGTTTTCATTCTGTCATCAGTTGGGGTCGATTAAGAACAAGGCAAACATCACGAAAAACTCATTATCCACTTAACAAAGATGTTTGTAGAGTACTCTTGTAAACATTTCCTGCAGTGGTTCATAACAATTTACAGTCATTAAATACTGATAAAAAGCCAAGAAATTGACTTGGCCCAATTTCCAACTAAGTAGAAGATTTGAAACTTGTTACATACACAGATTGAGTCAATGCTACTGTTTGGTTCTTACATTTTACAACATGGTAGAGTTCATATTTTTACAAATGTTACGATTTTGTTTTCCTTGCTGTGGTACACTGCGTTCAAGCAATAGTCTACAGAATGATCAACGAAAGTTGTGATGTTTTGAGATCAAACAGTGTGCCATAGCATTCCTACCCAGCCACCTGAATGGGCGACAATATGTGTCAGTATCATGATTAAGTTACACTGGGAAAGTATGAAGGAATGACGGAAGAGTGAAAAGCTACATGAAGTCAAGAATGGCATCCGTTCACTTCGTTCATATGTCGTGCTCAGTGCCTGTATTTTATCAAGATACTCGGTGGTTAAGAAGTACTCCGGTGTGACAGAGTTTATGGTTGAAGAAGAAAGATCAAACCGAAGGAAGAGAGTAATTGATACCAGCTTACTATCGTCCCCTCTGTGGGTAAGTATATCGGTTAATTTAGT